GTCTTCAGAGTGTAAATAAAAGTTTTTCGCTTAGCACAATTTTTTGAAAGTAATGGCAAATAGCTCAACTTACAGGATAAAATGGATGAAATGTTACCAGTGTGAATGTGGAAGGAGAGTCTTCAGAGTGTAAAGGGGTTAAGTTGATAAATGGCATGCAAAATATATGTGGTCACATTTTGATGGTGATATTTTCCTACTGTTGAGATTTGTTGGAATTAATAAGGATTAGGGGATCTAACCCAAAGTTAATGCTTTTATTTCATTAATACTTTAATATTTGTATACTTAATTTTTTTTTCTTTCATTGTAAACCCTCTAATAAGTGCTATAGCATAATATTTTTTACCTGGTGACTGAAGTTTTCACTTTTATTCTTTATAATATCTTTTTTCACAGTGAAAATGGTTGTGTAATTAAGTGTAAATAAAAGAGTTATTGACTGTCTGGAGTATCAATCCCTTTCTATCACATTAGAAATTGAGTTTATGTAAGTCTTAAGTAATGTATGATAATCCTGTCTGATGTATAGTGAAGTGTACTCATTTGTTCAGTTTGTATTAATTTTAATAAATGGAAGACTTTTTTCAACCCAATGCCGGCTGGTAAAAAAGTTTGGCAAGTGGACATAATAACGGGATTCTTGGCGCGCATCTGCAGTTTCCCGTTTGCGCCCAGCTAGTTCAGTCGTATGAGGGCAATATTTGACTCCTAAAAGCTTTTATATTGCTGTAATTTATAAAAATATTATAATTTTGAAGGTTTACCTTCATTATAGGTGCTATTGCCTAAAATCTTTTCCATATAAATGAAACACCTACTATCGGAGAAAAACAAACTCCGTCCAATGAGCCAATGGCGCAGGAATGGTCATGATACGATGCCACAACAGCCATGGCATGTACATACATGCCACCCAGCAGCCAGTGGTTAATAGTCAAAATGTAGTTATAGGTGCTCACTAATTTAGATTTCTCATTTACATTATTAATATCAGTTAAAAAAAAAATTAATAGAGAATATGATAAGATCAAAGTGAAACTGAGATGGTCTGATGATGTGTAATGTTGTCTTTATTCTGATTACTGAAAAACTGATGTGAAATTTATGACCTTGCTGGTGCTACTAAATATAATTTAGAATGGTTATTCATTTTACCATGGAAAATAGATCAGTTAAGCAAACCTTAATATTACTGAACTAATAGGTTTTGTTACTCTACCATTGGATATTTTGCTAGTAAAGGATCCGCTAACATTGTATTTGTTTATATAATTTACTGAATGAGTTTCATTGATTAGTTTATCCTTCTCAATAGATGGAGACTGTATTTGCCTCCGGTAATTTAAAATTTACAGTTCAGTAATTTAAATGATACAATCATATTATAATTTCCATGATATATGCCCTATAAAGCATATATATATATTCCAATATTTTGTTCTCTATGTATATTTCATGTGTTTCAATTTTTGCCTTTGTGGAATGCTGGAGGTTTGTGCGAATATTAGATTTTCAAATGTTGGAGACTTGTACTGGCTATGGGAGTGTTAGGTAATGCATTAAACATATTTTTTTGCCAAGGTACATATAAACATTTAGCTCCACTTCCATTTTGCTTGTTGAACTTAAAAATGAAATTATTCTGAGGGTTGTAAACTCCTTGGCTCTGGATATTTCACTCCTTACACATGGCCCAAGAGATTAGGCTTACTTGAGCAGCTAATTTCATGAGTGCTTGACTTGTAGGCCAGGCATACAAGAATACTTTTGAGCAATGACAAGATTCTGTGCCTCCCCTTTACAAGGTATTTTCTCTTTTTTTTTGCATAAGCATTTTTAGCTTTTATGCCATATTCCAATTTCTATAATTGTCATTTGAATTGCTTTATCCAGATAATAGACCATTTTCTTTGCACAGACTCCATATCAACCATCCAGGTACTCCATAACTCAGGCCAATAATGATAACATGAAGTAACATATTGTTTTTTTTTGTGTGTGAGTGTGTGCAAGACTCAATTTTCTGTAATGCAACCTGTGCTGCCAGTCATGGCAGACAGGAAAAGGATCCTGAGCATGGAAGTAGTGTCTTCACTAGAGCTAGTGCTCTTCCACTCATGGCACACAGATAGCACATTCCACACCTGTGTATCAATGGAAATAATGAAAAAAAAAAAAAAAAATTCCCAAATGCCCACTGAGTCTCATCACCCTTCAAGAGCTTTGTGCACTTGTGAGTCATTTCCATCACCCCGTTCTTCATCCCAGCCCTCAACCAAATTTTCCCATGATGGCATGTTCATGTCACCCAGCCCTTAAGCCAAAATTTTTCATAATGTAGCATCGAGATTGTACGTGTTAATTGTAAGGAACTTTTTGTTATCATAGATAAAAGAGGCAAAATTTGGTTTTATTTCTGGTAATAAGATTATCAAGTAAATTACACAAATAATTATATATCTAATTATATGTGATATCTCAAAGCACATTCATTGGC